GCAATGAGAGTACACGTGGCGATAATCTAACGGTCGAGGGGTCACCTCAATCGGGTGGCACTGGCATTCGCATGTGCACCGTATTGAATGCGGTGGGTGGATGTGACGCCGCATTAAATGCGGTGGTTGCTTGTCTCCTAAGGGAATCTTCGATGATTGAGCTGTTGGCCGAAGGCTCCCCCTGCGGACAAGGGCTCCGTGTAGTCGAGGGCGCTGTACAGCCGAAGGCTTCCCAGATGCCGAAGGCACGAGAGTGCCGAAGGCTCCTGTTTTCTGCCATTTTCTCCCAGTAGCTTTGTATGCTCAAATTTGGCTGCCCTGTGTAATTTGGAGCCCTCGGCCAAGGAGGCCGAAGGCACCCCTATGTGTATTGTGGGCTTCTTGACATTTAGGCCGGCGTGTTTGGGCCATGGGCGTGTATTGGGCTCATTGGGCCTGTGCAGGAGAAGTAGGAGTCTGTGGGCCGGGGGTCCCTGGGCCATATACTCCATCAACCACAATTAAGACCATCTCAATATTTTTTAAGGTCCCGGTGCTAACCAATGCACAGAGGTTCCTTAAAAAATGAAAAAATTCCACTTTTGGTCCCTTGAGTATTATACCACTTCCGCATTACTTACCTGAGTTTTGACATGTCCACATTTAGTCCCAACGTTTTGTCCCGTCACCCTCCGTCGTCCTTCCGGCCAAAAGTCCGCCGTTTTCATTATAATAAAAAAGGGGAAGGTTATTTAAGTAATTACACTTTCTTAAAACGGCTAAAAGCCCCACAACACCATTCTCCCCTTACCTACGCTTACTCTCTCACAGCTGTACTGAACCACTGAACCATTTCTTCCAGTCGAAGTTCTGATTTGGTGATTTTGACGAACCTTAATACCTTTACGTGTGAATGCGGATGCGTCCGACTGGAGTGTTTGTAATCGGAATGGGGCGCAGATGGAATGGAGAAGGAACAAGTGCTCAACAAAGTTCTTCATCAAATGTTGGTGGTAATGGTAAGTTTGTTGAACTTAAGAACATAATTTCTTTGTGCACATGGTAGGGTATGGCTTTGGGCTCGGTAGGGTAGGGTTTTTGTTGTTGAGAATCTTTTTTCCCCTTACTTTTTGGGATTTGACAAATGGGACCAATTATTTTTCCTTTACCCTTTACCTACAATGATTGAACTACCACATTAAATGTTTTTTATTGTAACACCCCGGCCCCACCGGACCCGAGGTAGTTACTCCAGACCAATAGTACTGTCCCCACAAACCACCACGAGCCTTTACCGCGCACTTTGTCCTCACTCATGCGCGCCCTGAGAAACTTCCCAGGGGGTCACCCATCCCAAGACTACTCCCGAGCAAGCACGCTTAACTTTGGAGTTCTTAGGTAATGAGCTCCCTTAAAAGGAGATGCACCTCTGTTTGTATGAGTAGTACTATTAATCCGTTTATATTAAATCTCAAGTGTTACATTTATGCAGCCCCATGTGAAACCACATTTACTCTAAAGTTGAGGAACAGAGGAAGAGTGAGTGATAGTAGCAGACCATCTTATAGGGGAGGTACTACACATTTGTTTTCTGATGTGGATGTCGATGAGTTTGGCTTAATTGTGTTGAAAGAGAAACTTGAAGAAGTTGGTTGCACAAAGAAGTTAAGAAGAGTGTATTCCTATTCTAAATCTTCACTAAATGAACTGAAAGGTGACTCTGAAATCTGGTCCTTTGTGAGTAATGGTAATGTGGGTAAAATTGTGGAGTTATGGGTAGAATTAGAAGAACTTGATGCCAATGGAGATACAGATGAGGACCTCTCAGACAATGATTTTGCTTATACTGATGAGGAGCTAGAAGAAATCTCTGGGGATGATGCAGATTCTGATCTAGGGGAGGTCTGCACAGCAACATTGAAGGACATAACAATGGTAGTGAACCATTAGTGGTAGATCCTGATCCAAATTTGTCTGATGATGCTTCCATACATGATTCAGATTCTGATGCTGAAATGTGGATTCCTTTCAATGCCCAAACTGATATGGAAAATCCATCTTTCAAGGTTGGAATGACATTCAGTACCAAAGATGAATTCAAGCAGGCAGTTAACAACCATGCTTTTAAAACGGGTAAGGATGTGAAGTTTGTAAAGAATGACATGATCAGAGTTGTTGTGAAATGTAAACACCTAGACTACCCATGGAAGATCAATCTCAGAAAGGTGGTTAATGCTCACTCTTGGAGGATACTTGAGTTCCAAAACAAGCATGGAGGGTGTTCTTGGCTTTATCACAATAAAATGGTAAACTCAACCAAGGTTGCTAAGATATGGTTGAAGGAGATTAAAAGTCACTCCAATTGGAATACTGCAGAATTCAGACAAAAGGTGTGTACTGATGAGAGATTCCATTTAAGTAGACGCCAGGCTTACAGAGCAATGTGCACTGCCAAAAGAAAGCTAAAAGGTGAAGAGGATGAGTATTTTAATAAGATATGGTGCTATGTGGAAGAAATAAGGACTAATCCACTTACCACCTGCACTGTTAAACTAAGTGAAGAAAAAGAAGAAGGTGGGAAACAAAGGTTTATGAGGATGTCCATATGTTGGGAAGCATGTCGAGAAGGCTTTAAAAGTTGCAGGCCAGTGTTAGGTTTGGATGGGACTCATTTGAAAACATTGACAGGTGGCCAGTTGTTACTTGCAGGAGGGTTAGATGCAAACAATAACATCTTTCCTTTGTCAATGGTTCTTGAACCTAGTAAGAAGGGATGCTGATATCAATGAAGACAATGAACATGTATTCACTTTGATGTCTGACAAGCAAAAAGGGCTTATTCAAGCAGTGAATGAATTATTTCCCAAGGTTGAACATAGGTTCTGTGTTAGACATCTACATGGGAATATGAAGGTGGCTGGATTTCCAGGAAAAGCTATCAAAGATTGCCTTTGGGACTGTGCCAGGGCTTGTACAGTTAATTCTTTCAAAACAAGTCTAAGAAAGCTAAAGGGAATTGATGAATAGGCTTTTGATTGGCTGGCAGATAAGAACCCTACAGAATGGTCCAAATCTCATTTCTCCACACACTCCAAGACAGAAATGTTAGCTAATAATTTATATGAGTGTTTCAATGGTGTCATCTTAGAAGCAAGGCAAGAGGCTATTTTGGTGTGCTTTGAAAGCATTAGGAAACTATTGGTGACAAAATTCTTTACCAGTAGAAAAAAGGCAGAAAAATGGACTACTAATCTATGCCCTAGAATACTTAAAAAGTTACAAGACATTGAGAAGTTTGCTGCAGGTTTAATAGGTTACGAGTGTGGTGAGAATGACTTTGAGATTACTGGAATGAGTGGAACACAACATGGGGTTGATTTACAAAGGAAAGTATGCACATGCAGGTTGTGGGACCTAACTGGTATACCATGTAAACATGATGTGTGTGCTATTTGGTTGAAGTATGGTAAGGGTCCAGTTGATGCTTACGTGCACCCATGTTACACAAAAGAAGCATATTTGAAGATCTATGGTGGCACTATCAAGCCAATGGCTGGAAAGGATGAGTGGCCTCTTTCAGAGAAAATTCCCCCACTTCCTCCTGTGTATTCAGCCAGACCGGGAAGACCAAGAAAATTGAGGAGGAAATCTATTGTGGATCTCACCAGTGATGGAGTGAGAGTAGCAAGGACACACATCAAGATGCATTGTTCAAAGTGTAGAAAAGAAGGCCACAATGCAAGGAGGTGTCCTGAAGATCCAAATAACAAAGAAAAACTGGTAAATGGACTCATGCTTTATGTTATTTTTGTCATTTATTTATTTGCACTTATACGTAGTAAATTATATTTATATTTAACCATTACGTTTTTCTACACTCAGCTTCAACCTAGAAAAAGAAAACCAAAATCTGCACCAAGGCATACTGGAAATGAGGATGTGGGAGCTGCTAAGGTTGGTCAAAGTGCTGAAAATGATGATGTGGGAGCAGTTAAGGTTTCTGATTTAGATGAAGACAACCTTGTGGATATCAATATGCAATTTGAAGACTTCCCATCTGCACAAGCTAAGTTTCCTATTGTTGTTTCATTTGAAGAAACTTCAATGTTCACTCAAATCAGTGACCAAGAAGCTGAAAGACAGACTGGAGAAGTGACTCAAACCCAAAGTAGTGATGAAAACAAGAGTGATGATGTAGAACATGACCAGACCCATGACTTTGAGCAGAGAAATAGTCATGGGGTCCAGATAAGCTTTGGACCACCCCCTCCTTCTAAGGCTAAGACTTCAAAAGCTGCACAAGGGGTGAATTTAAGACATGGCAAAGCAAAACTCAAAAAACTGGACATCAAAAAAGGACCAAGCTATTCTACCAGATCCAAAACAACCTTCAAGTCAATCTTTTATGGGAATGATGCTGACCAATTGAGCTTGGGTAGTGTTTGATGTCACTCTTTTGAAGAGGTCTCAAGGGGCTTGCGCTTTGTTGTAGGTTTTAGCGTTGATGTTTGTATTTCTACTTTTGTTGTACCATGAACTAAAGTGTAGTTATGACTATGTTTTTGCCCACCAGAAGATATCACAGTTTAGTATGTGTATATGGTGGTATTTTGGAAGTCACAAAACATGGTTATTGAAGCTTATTAATACTTTGGATGGCATATGTATTGGCCTCTTTTATTTTTGTTTAAGTGTATTAGTACTTTGGATGGCATATGCATTGGCCTCTTTTGTTGTTGTGTATGGAAAAACATGGTTATTGAAGTGAATGGTATACTATATAACTGTTTTCATTATGTTTATGGCATATGTATATTACTGTTTTCATTATGTTATGGTGAAGATGTATTGAAGTGTGAATGGTATAGTATAGAACTGTTTTTTCAGTGTTGTTTATATTGCTTTATGGTAACATGTTTGTGGTTTGTTTATATTGCTTTACGGTTAACATGTATTCAAGTGTTTTCATTTAGTTTGGAAGTCATATTATAGGATTCTGTGTTTTCAGTTTCTACTTTTGGTAACACAACATATGTAACATTGAATATGGAAGTAAGACAACTTCATTAATACATGTCATGAACATGACCATTTGTCATCAATACATGTCAAGCTAATAGCAACATTCCTCATTTGTCAAAGCTAATTCATGTCAAAGGTAATAGCTAATACATGTCCTCAAATTCTTCTGGATACACAAAACAATGCTACCAGACTACTTGCTATATGCATACATGGATACAAAAGCCACAAAAGCTATTATAATGCAAGTGACAAGTCTGGTGCAAGGGTATCTTTTGTGCTCTATCTTCTCCATCTTGTCATTTGTTTTATCTGGTTTCTCAACTGCTTCCAGCTTCAGCTCCAATGTGTGAATGTGGTTTTCATACCCATTCAGTTTTTTTAACAATCCTGGAATTATTTTCTTGGATCTTTTGCACATTGGAGGGTCAAACCACTCCATGAAACCGCATCCTTCAGACCACTGCAATCACATATTACAAATACTAATACAATTAATCATCTCAAAAAATACAGAGCAATATTTTAGCTGCAGCAAAAAACTAATACCTGGCTGCCAACGCATTTCCAAAACCTTCTCCCACAGTTTTCTTGTTTCCATGTAGTCAAAAGCTTCAATTCTTGCCCACATTGACAATGTTTGACCGGGATCCACTCTCCATATTCATACCGGCCTGTTGATTTTGAGGTAGCAAAACTACTGCTAGACATGGTCGCCTTCGAACAGGGAGTGCCTACGAACGAGGAAGACGAAGTAAAAGTTTATAGATGATGAGGGATATAGGTTTTCTTCTTTAGGTTTCAAGAATGGGTGATGTAAGGGGTATTAAAGAGGGGTGGTTACGAAACAGATGGAGTAGGCGAGGAAGAAGTAAAAGTAGCTTGGAAATTACTTAAATAACCTTCCCCTTTTTTTATTATAATGAAAACGGCCGGACTTTTGGCCGGAAGGACGACGGAGGGTGACGGGACAAAACGGCCGGACTAAATGTGGACAAGTCAAAACTCAGGTACGTAATGCGGAAGTGGTATAATACTCAAGGGACCAAAAGTGGAATTTTTTCTATGTTTGAATGTAAACGTCCCTTTCTTCGGATTTTGCTGGGAGTAGTCCCTAGTATACTTTTATAGGATTCGTTCCTTTGTGGAGTACGTAGTTGATAGAAATCCTATCCGGGCTACTTAGACTTCTTACTACTCGAAGGCTTGAAATCCATTTCACAGGACGTGGTGTGCACACTTAAGGTAGAAATTCAATTTCTATTGATGGTTTAGGCGGGGGCCGGGATACCGGATGGTTCATTGGTAGCATGTGACCAACGTATTCTGCGTGTGATACCTGAGGTGAATCGTGGGTGGCATGTGACCCCACACTCATTTGGTTCGGGAATTCTTCAAAGTTTTTCCTCATCTCTATAAAGAATTTAGGAGATTGGATTATAAATGGTTTTTGGTGAAAATTCTTATTATTTTTTAAATATTTGGAACATGGTGGTTTTCTCCTAATTGGGAATATGAATTATATGATTACTTATGGTTTTAAATGAAAGTTTTCAGCAATACTAGTTGTTTTGGAAGATCTCAAATTTACTCTTAAAAATCTTGTTTTTGATCTTTTGAAGTGTTGGGATTTTTTAGCAACTTATGATATTATTATATCTAGATAAATAACTTTTGAAATCTGGATTATATTTCCGAAAATTGGTACTTTAAATGTCAAAACTATTTTAAATAAAACTATATTATTTTACGGGATTGAGTGGACCTTACTTAACTATAAAGCTAATTTTTGTTTCCATTTCTTTTGTTTTGTTTTTTACACTTTATTTGGTGCAGGTGATGAGACTGTGCTTGAAGAAAAATGCTTTAGAAAACCTAGAATAGTTTTTATTTTGTGAACGTTTACTTAATTTCAACTTCGAAGACTTGTTTCTTATGTTTACTTTGAATTGTCATTTAGCTTGTGCATTCGATTATGTGAGAATTGAGTGTGCCAGTAACATTTAACGAATGTTTTATTCCGCTGCTATTTTATTTACTTTGAACTTTATCACTTTTTGGAATCATTTCACTAAACTTGCTAGTTATAGCAACTATTTTGGTTTTTTTATAACAATCATAATGCTCAATACTAGACTCTTAGTATTTAAAGAGTAAATATCTGGTGTTGAACAAATGAACAATGTTATAATTAAATTGAAACGCTAAGAGAGCTCAAATAGCAAAATTATGCTCAAGCCTTAAATCCATGTACAACTAAACAGCAAATAACCCTTCTTATATACTTGAGGAATTAGATTTAATACTTCATTAACGGTGTTTGCTAATGTGGTTTGTATTTTTTTGACTATATTTTATTGATAGAAAAGGGAGTTACGGGCACTAATGAAAGAAAAAAAGAAACTAAAATAATAAAACTAAATTATATTTTATTGATAGTTTATTATACTGTGAGATCTACTAATTAAAAAAATATCAAAACTAAGAATTTCAAATTCCATTACCAAACATCTTTTGCCTCTACGAGTAAATTTTATTGGATTAACTTTAGTAGTAAGGAGATTAACTTAAAAGCTAGCTAGTATATGTGCATGTTTGTTTTACTAGCTAATTTGCCTGTCATTAAAAAAGGTGCAATATCGTGCTTTGAATATCTAATAATAATGTACACGCACACATATTTATTAAGTTATATATCCAATCCAATTAATTAACAGAACTACATAATATTAAAGTGTACTTGGAATATTTGCATTCTAAATAAATGTTGACGGTTTCAAAACAACAGATACCACATGAAATACAAAATGGGGATCTATTTTCAAAATAGTTTATCCACATGTTATATTGTAATTTAGTTTTACGCCTTATTTAAATTGGGTGATGTCAATTTAAACCTGGGATGTTAACATAAGTGGAAACAAATTGTCTGAAACTGTTTATAAAACTAGTTGACATAGTTTGTATTTATCGACGGCAGTTTGTGAATATATAAATACAAAGAAAACTAAATTCTTAATGTCAATAAGTAAATATATTTTTACATTGTGGGTCTTAAAAATGCGGTTTAAAACAGTAAGGCTGTTGATATCTAGGGGAGCAGAATATAAGTGAAAAGGCCTATTAATGATGTTTGGAATAATTAAACAGAATTCACTTATCTGTTTGATGAATAATCAAAGTAGGGCAGCAGAAGGCTGATGATTTGGAAGAGAAGAGTGGGTGGGAATAAAGCGATGGAGAAAGAGTACCAACTCCTATCTTCCATTTAAGTCAATTAAAAAAATGAAATTATTCGGTCTATAATTGTTCACAAGGCAAAACAAAGATGAAGAATAATCTCTCCTGAGTTGCTAATAATAATAATGACAAGGTGATTATAATTATCCACGTAAAATCTTCCTCATCTTGATAGACCAAAGCCAAAAATTCAAGGAATGAATTGATTGATTTCCATTGATAATAATATCATCATCATATATTATCACATGCAGCGGAGAATTGAAATGGGAGCGGACTAGTCTAGAGTTGGAAAGACATGGCAACAATGTAAGGCCCAGCAACATCCCCCACCGCGCACCCTGAAATTCATGATCACACAACGGAATATTATATCATACCTAAAACATTACATACATACATGCATGCATGCATCGTTATACTGTATGTAGTTCATTAGAGTGGTGAGATATTGTTACAACTGAAAGGTTGGTTTTGTTGGGTTCGAGGAAGAGCAGCATTAATCATATGTGGACCAGTTTATAGTGACATAAATATTACTTCAGTATAAATATTTACCACCCAAATTAATTAGATAAATAAAACATATGTACTACTAATACTAGTGATATAAATATTACTTCTAAACTTTATGATTACCAAAGCATGATTTGGTGCTAACATAATATAATACGGAGTAGCAAATACAAATAATAGCCCTAAATACAAATAAACTAATCCCTAAATGAACAAATCGGACTATGTTTTTACCTTCCCATACATTGAAATAAGACTAAAGTATACTCTATCTTCCTATCCTACCTTTACCGTAGCTTAATAGGAAAATCATATTTTAATTTGTAATAATAAAAACATAAAAATCATAAACATTATTTTAAATCATAATCATAAAAAATATACGTATTCACAAATATTTTGAAAAAATAATAAACATTTAACTATTTAAAACTAAAAACTTTTAAAAAAATTTTTGATAAAACACATAAAAAATATTAAAAATACTAAGGGCCTTTCCCGCACACTCTGCCATCTCCCAGCAACGCCACTTCGGATCAGCAAAAAATTCCATTTGATATAAAAAATGTGCCTCTTATTCTTTGAACATGCAATGAAGACGGCATTATCGACACATGTTGGGGCTGGGGTTGCTGGGAGGTTGTTGAGGCGGCAACAAAGCCCTGCATGTTTTTTTTTTTTTTACGTCTTTTTTATTTTATTTTAATTTTTAAACTTTTTTTAATTTTATATTTTTGTATTTTTTAGTTTTATTAATTTTATTTGATATTTATTTTCATGGTTATTATTTTCTTACATTTTAATTATAAATAAAGTTATGTTATTGCTTTTATGTTTTGATTAATAATGAAGTATGAATTGTATTAAAACAAAGCAAGGGCAAGATTGGAAATATAATCCTATTTAGGGAATTTTAAAAGTTATACTCCTACTCTTGCAATTAAAATTTCACTTGGTCTTGCTTGGGGAGTTTCGCCTAGCAAATTAATATTGGCTAATTTCTTTACAGTTAAAAGTTTATTAGATTGAGGAATAAAAGAAGTAGAAGAACCATGAAAGCGATCAAGAACTAAAGAAAAGAGAATGAATAGTCATAGAAACTGTCAAAGAATTTAAGTGAAAGAGAATGAAGGATTGCTTTTTGGAGTGTGCTTTATTTTCTTTAATGGAAAATCGTCAAGTAGGTCCTCGTACTATTTCAAAAACGTCAATTCAATTAATCTTATATGTGCAACATCCAGGTGACTCTTTTTCAGGGTTTTCTATTTTTTTTATTCTCTACCTTATTCAACAGTGCTTCACTTTCCACTAACCAAATGTTACGATCTCATCAGTTCTGAGATGTCTTTCCTTGTCCCCCACCATCGGCATGAGCGTGGCTGAAGCTTGTTTGGGTGGCGTAGAGGTCGGAGAAATGGCAAGACAACATTTAGAGATGTCGGCAAAGCTCAATTTGTCACAGAAGTACATCACCGTCACTGGGTGCTTCCAAATTCACAGTCCAACATTGACCCTCTTTCAGTGTCATAAGCAGAGTTTTCATACATAGCAATAAAAAAGTAAATGAAACTCATACTTTGCATATAACCGTGTATAGTAAAAGATATATAGAAAAAGAAAAATCGATGGTTAAGGTAGAAAAGAATGGACGCCAGAGAAGACATCTATCAGCTTCAAGGAATGAGGATTTTATAAAAGAATTCCTTACCTTAATGCCAATATTCTTACCTTCAATTTCAGAACCGATATCAGACACATGGATAGTCTTCTCAATTCAAGAGAAGTTGTCTTCCCAACTTCTCAACTTCATAATGCCTAAGGTCCACCACGGAGAGGAGAGAATCGACATCTTCATCATCAATTTCAGAGATGCGTTTGAAAGAAAAGAAGGAAGAACTGAAGAATTGAAGTACCGAAGAAGGATGAATATTGGAGATAGGAGAGGTGCACAGCCGCCTGGACTTTGGATATTCATTTTTGGACGAGCCAGATGATCATGGCAACCGGGCTTGGAACAATGACAATGAGCACAACTG